TGTGTTTGCGTGTGTGTATGGGAGATGGCTAGTTGTGACTCAGGAAAGAGTGTCTAACAAATTACTGCTGAATAATAAAATGCTGAAGAATGTCATGTGTATCGTCTGTTTGTCCTGAGAGCTCAGCAGCTTGAAGTAAGTGACAATCTGAAGAGGGACACGTCCCAGTCCCAGTCAGTGAGGAAGAGAATGTCTGAATACTGACCAGCGCTGAATCCACACCCTGATGCAGATACTCAGCAGCAGCCAACAGTGAGAGATTGTTCATGATGTAGCATACTTGGTTACTTAATACAAGTGCCCCACTTCATAAACTCTGTAGTCAGTCACAATTGCAGTAAAAATACACATATCATAAAGCGTGTCCAAATATTCTCAGTTCTGTTTGTTATTTATAACTACTTCTGTTTTCTGAGTAGCTTAATTGATTCTCCCGTGCTGCTGTTATTCTGACAGTTGAAAAGAGGAAGCTGTTAATACAGATTTATGTCAGGGGTTTCCTGGAGAGTCAGTGTGTCTGTGAGAGCCAGTCTCTACACCAGGGCTGTCCAGTCCTGCTCCTGGGGGGTCAGTGTGTCTGTGGGCTGTCCAGTCTCTCTACACCAGGGCTGTCCAGTCCTGCTCCTGGGGGGTCAGTGTGTCTGTGGGTTTTCTTGGTCTTAAACTCACCTCAGGCTGGATATTTAAAATCTGTTTTTCAGTCTGCCCATGTTTTCCATATCCTCTTTTTGTCGTTAATGTTTTTTAAGGTGTGTTAATTCAGAGCAGCTCTAATCCAATGATATGGAATGAGACGCATGTTTTCAACGCCCCATTAAGCAGCGTTGCGAAACCTCACATGTTTTCGCAATAGTTAAACTGTAACTATGATTCTGGGAAGTTGCGATGGAGCAGCTCAGGGGTCATTGACTAAGGCTGTGCTGGAGGATCCAGCGTCACGCTGTAAGAATTCCCACTTTCAGGTCCAGCCAGATCCGCAATGAGGCGCAGGCGGCGATGGAAATTTCCACTCTGTAATCTGACTTACACAGAAATCAAGACGTGCCACAAGCGATTATTTAATGCCTTAACCTTACACTCCACCCCCATCAGAGCTTCCTGGTGAATGGACGTGCGCACACTACGCACGTGGAAGTAATTATGCACTGGAATGCAGATTCCAACACAGCACAGCAGGTCTCTGTGCTGGAACTGTAGAGCGCAAAGTGACAAAGACGATGACACAGTTACCCTTCCAGCCCCCTGTACTTTCCAGCTTGTGCAGCAGGCAGGTACAGCTGCTCACATCAGAACGCTGGAGGAGAGGTGTGAAACCTGAGGAAGAGGAGGAGGGGGGCTGGGAGTGACGCCTGAGGAAGAGGAGGAGGGGAGCTGGGTTTGACGCCTGAGGAAGAGGAGGAGGGGGGCTGGGTGTGACACCTGAGGAAGAGGAGGAGGGGGGCTGGGTGTGACGTCTGAGGAAGAGGAGGAGAGAGGCCAGGCGAACGCCTGAGGAAGAGGAGGAGTTTCACAGTAGTAATGGAGCAGACACACATGCAGAAGGTTAGAAGCGCACTTGGTGATCAGCCCTGACAGTGACAAGTTCTTATTTGGCTGACCGAAGGAGCGTGAGACACCAGGATGTACCTTCTGCCAGGCCCTCGCCCACTGTGAGGTTAGACACTGGTGCTCTTGTCCTGAACCTGACCTTGGTGGCAACACTGCGGCCGGACCGGGGCTGTGCTTGGAACAGAGGCTGTGTCTGCTCTGTCCACACGGCCGCCCGTCAGTGAGCTCACTTCAGGACTGCGCTGACCCGGGCTCTGGGTCCCCAGACGCACCCCGCTCTGGGGTCACAGAGGAGTCACTGCTCTTCTCTGCCTCCCGGCCTTCAGACGTCCAGTCGGCACAACCAGAAAAGCAGGAACTGGAATTCCGTTGTTCCGCCTGCTCCCACTCTCCTGCTGTCTCTCCCGTGGGAAACGGAGAGAGAGAGAAAGTCAAGTATAAACAGGAGCGATCTCAACCCGAGCACAAAGACCGGCCGCCCACGCCCAGCGCTCACTCTCTGCTCCAGGTGCTGAGCGTTCTTCTCCAACTGGCCTGTTGACAGATCCCGGGAATCTGAGAGAGAGAGAGATACACACACCTGGACACACCTGCACACCTACACACACACCTAGACACACCTGCACACACACACACCTACACACACACAACTGCACACCTGAACACACACAGCTGCACACCTGCTCACCTACACACACAGTTGCACACTTGAACACACACACACCTAGACACACTCAACCGTACACCTGCACACACACACCTACACATACACCTCCACACCTAAAAAAACACAAACACACAGGCCTGTGTACCGACACTGCTACACAAGATCGTAAATTCAGTCCTCCTTCCCCCTTTCCAGCCTTTTCTGCCAAACACCTGCTGGGTTACTAGCAAACAGTAATTCTGTCGATGGGATGCTGATATAAACTGAGTCATTCTGGGACTCTATCCGTCTGAGTTTCTGGAAATGCTGAGACACCTCTCTGCCTGCAGCTCTGCTCAGCACAGGGACAGCGAGCAGTCGCACAGTCCCAGCCCTGGCTGGGGCCTCTCCTGGAGCTGACACCCAGACTCGTGCTTCTCTAATGAAAGCCACATGCGCACAATCACTCCCTGCCACTACACTGGGGCTCAGCTTCGTGCAGGAACACTGAGCCGGCACGCACTCCCTGCCTGCTCTTCACAACAGAGTGATGCCACACTCTTCAAGCGCACTCACAGTCGGAGAGAGCTCTTCCAGTTCACCCAGGGCCTGCAGGTGCCCACTCCCTCCAAGACAGGGGTCAGGGGTCAGGGTAAGAGCAAGGGTCAGAGGTCAGAGTAAGGGGTCAGGGGTCAAGACTAGCCTTCTCCCCAGCTCGAGCAGCCCAGAGCGTGTATTTTAACTATACTGTCACCCTCCTTCAAAATCACACTGCTGCTCTGACCAGGGGTCCCCCACTCCTGCCCCTGGGGTCCTCCCAGCCCCAAGCTCTCGCCAAGCTCCTGCCTGGCGACTCTGCGGGGTTCGCTCTGCTCAGACCTGAGTGACTGCAGAGCCCGCAGGTGTCCAGGAGCTGGGGGCTGGACTCCGCCTCTTGCTCCCCCTTTAATCAGCGCTGTTCATTAACTGTGTATCCTAAGACGACATTAAACGGGACCAGAAACACGAACCTGCCTCTGCTGTGCAGAGACCCGCACTGAGGGAGCTATTTTTCAAGTCAAATTCAACATTAATTAACACAAAGCAGAAAACGGATCCAAAAATCTGTAAACGGGGGCGCCGGAGGGCCTGGGGGCGAACGGAGGGAGCGTGCTCGGGGCCCGTCTGAAAGAAAGACAGACGCATCAGTGGATCAGCGGAGGCGCACTCGTCCCTGCGTGTTCCCGAGAGGAAACAGAACCCGCAGGCTGGGACCGGTGGCACAGAACCGCCTCTGGCGAGCTCTGGTCCGTTGAGGGGTGTGGTAAGGTCAGGAGCAGTGGCAGCAGGGTGCTAGTGTTTTCACTCCAGATCAGCCCTGAGCTGCTTCGCCGCTCAAAGGGAAATTGTCCCAAGTGTTCGGAAACCAGTGATTCCAGGGGTGACCCCTAAACCTGCTGGACTGGGGCTCCCCAGGAGCAGGGCTGGCCAATCCTGGTCTAGCAGATAAAAACTGGGTCATTGATGAGTGGAAAAGCCCTGAAAACACCACTGTTTTCACCTTCTTAAACCAATTGTATCCGTTGATTAAAACAAGTCTGCTCAGCCTGCAGCCCCTCCAGTCTGTCCCATCGCTGGAGTGTCCCACTGCTCGTTAGCTAATTGATTATTAGTAGGATCTGTACACCAATCAAGGGGCCGGAGGAACGGAACTCTTTCAGTGGAGGGGTGTGGAGTAGTCGTCCAGGAGGAGAGTGAACACATTCTGTCCTTCAGTTTGTTGGTTTTTAATCGACTCTAAAATCAGAAGACTGTTGTGTTAGGAGTGGCATTTGACAAGAGGAACAGGTGCCTCCATTCAGATCTGAGATCCAACCACAAAAAAACAGGAAACACTGGGAGAGAGGGAGGTAGGGTGGGCCAGTGGGTAGAGCTGAGAGAGAGGGAGTGTGGGACAGTGGGTAGAGCTGAGAGAGAGGGAGGCAGTGTGGGACAGTGGGTAGAGCTGAGATATTAGGAAGGAGAGAGGCAGTGAGGGACAGGGGGTAGAGCTGAGATATTAGGAAGGAGAGAGGCAGTGTGGGACATTACAGTTACAGTCCTGGGATTTTGAGAGAGTGAGGCACAAAGGCCCAGCTGCTGGAGCTGAGACTCTGTAACAGAGGGATGGAGGCAGTGTGGGGTCCTGATTAGAGCTGAGGGACTGGCAGGCGAGGCAGAGAGGCAGTGTGGGCCAGTGTGCGGAGCTGTGAGCCTGGCACAGAAAGAGGAAGACCAGCCTGACAGTCCCTCCCCGTGACGTCTGCCACGTCATCTCTTCTCGCTGCTCACCAACCTCTGTCTACACAATCCAGGAGCTCATTTGCCTGCAGACAAGTCCAGGGGGAGGGAGGACAGAGCTACGTCAGAGGGCGGACTCCTGTGGACCTGCCTCCCTTTCTGATAAACAAGGGCTAGAACCGAAACCTCTCGGAGACCGCAATCCTGCGCTCAGGACCTGCTCTGCCTGCCTGCTCTCTGGCTGAGCGCGCCCAGACGCACTGAGCACCCGTCTCCTGCGCCACACGGACAGCACCCTCTCCCCGGCTCAGGAGCACCGCAGGCACTATGGCAGGTCAGTGGTCTTCTGCTTGAGTCTGAGGAGCTCCGAGCCAGCCTGTAGACGGTGTAGACTTTAGTGGGGCTGCAGTCTGAGCCCCTGTCCTGCCCAGGCTGAGAGATTGGCTGTAGTGGTGGTCTGGATGCACACAGCTGTGTCCAGTGCTCTGGTGTGGCTTGTTCATTCAGGCAGTGTGGCGTCACGGTGGAGAGTGTCTGTGTTCAGGGCAGAGAGGGTGTGAGACAGGGCCTCTTCTTCATGGTCTCCAGGCTGCTCTGCCTGGTGGGGGGGCAGAGCCAGGGGGCAGACTGGGGCAGACTGGGGCAGACTGGGGCAGACTGGGGCAGACTGGGGCAGAACGAGCTGCAGCAGCACCTGGAGAGGCAGCAGTGCGATCTGAGGGCTGTTTCCTCCTGCCTGTGCGTCTCTCTGCTTCCTCTTTCCTGCGCGGATTGAGAACAAAGAGCTGCTCTGTCAGGCCCGCTGACACGCGGCACAGCCTGTTCAGAGCCGCGCGCCGACCCGGTTCTGGTCGGGCTCCGTGTGCTGCTGAGCAGGACTCAGATTCTCCCTGCTGTCCTGGAGTCTCCAGGGCTGTAGCGATGGAGAAACCGGAAAGGGTGTG